TTAAAATAGAATTGTTAAAATAGAATAAAAAAACATCTTCCGTAAATGCTAAATTTATACTCACAGACTACTTTTCCAAACTGTCTTCAAACTATTTTTTCCAAATTTCATTTGGACAAGAGAGTCATGCGCATATTTCGACTGTAGATTAATGTTACAACAACAAAGTTTTATATTTTTATTATAAATTTTCTCAATATTTCACATATTTCTTAAAATATTATTATACACATATTTTATAAAATTTGTTAAAAATTAATCAGAATTGCAAAGAATATACATAATATGAAAAATATATATAAAATGAGTAAAACAATTTTTTATAAAAGTTTTAATATATTCTAAGTAATATAAATTTGCAGAAAAATTCACATTTTAGTTAAAATTAACAATAGAACAATTTGACTGGATAGTATTGAATTAAATAATATTGGTGCCAAAATCAAACTTTTAAAAAACATTTCACATACATCATCTTAGTATCATCTTTGCATATTGCATTTTTATTATTTTTTTTTTTAATTCTGTTACATTAGAAAATACTTTCTTTCAATCATGAAATGATACAGCAATTACAAAATGAACAAACACGCATTTATTATGCTCTTCTTATTTATTTTTCAAAAAATGATGTAACCGTGTTTCAAATAAAATTCTTTGCTATACAGCGAACACATCTCCGTCTTCCCCCACGCAATTGCCAGATAAGGACCAAATCCAAGAAGATTTCGGAAATGTGAAGGGAGAGGAAGAGAAACCGGTGAACAACGATACCGTTGAAAATACAAAAAAAGAGCAGGCACAAAGCGATTCGACGGCAATAAAGAACGACAGTGTAGCGAGCGAAACAACACCTTTCACGATCATTGATAATGAGAGTGTACTACCAACGAAAGCGAATGAAAAGGAAATGACAACACCGTGGAAAACCGACGATGCACAAGCTAACGCATCTCTAAATGAAAACGGATTGCAAAACACCACGAACGACCAAGACGACAGAAATGCTGAATTGACTGAAAAACCAGAGAAATTGGAAAATTTAGACGTAGTATTGAGTGAATTTGATAAGTCAAAAATCGACGAATCCGTGGAGAATGAAGAGAATCAGAAGTTCGGGAAAACCCGAAAAAACGTCACCACTGAAAGCATTGAACAAACAACTGAACAAACTAACGAGAGGGATATTAAAACGCAAAACAATTCCGACTAATGAGATATCTGAATGTCATCGGTAAATGAAATTTCCGGTCGATAACAATGGAATTACTGTGAATGTGAAATGACGAATACAGTAATTTGTGATGAAAGAGGGATACGAGTGATTTTATAATTTGTATAATTACTTTTTATATTGATGTTATAAATGTATGTAAGGGAATATATTAATAGGATTTTCTTTTCTTTTCCTTTTATTGACTATTTGAAATTTTGTGCGAGGATTATTTTGATTCCATGAATACTTATATTTGTGTAGGCAAAACATGAATAACATAAATAATATAAACAAAGAATATAGATTTTTTACCACATTTTTAAGTTAATTTTTTATTTTCCAAAATTTTTTGAAACTTCGTAATATGTGTATATACTTACTCAATTTAATATTAGAACCAATTTAGAGCCAATTAAATTTTTCAGATCGTGACAAATCGAAGCATAGTTATATCTTAATTAGTTCAATCAAGAGTATATATTTTACTCTATTTGCTAACAAAATTTTTAATTTTTAATTTTTAATTTTGTTTATATTATGTAACATTACCTATCAGAATTTTTTCAACGTCAATAATGGATTTAATTTTACTCATGGTTTATTAGAAAACAATAAAACATAATTGATAATATAATTAATTTTACATATTTGTAAATTAAATTATATTGTATATTTCATAGTGATAACAAAAATATTTAAACGATAAATCATCCATTGTTATACATATTATACTTTGGGAACTTGGAATTAACAGAAATCTAAAAATTTAATACTGAATGAAAAGCAAATTAAGAATAAATTCATCTATAAACATATACTTTTGATATGTTTATTCAATACGAACGATTCAATTTGGTATATTTATTCATTATGAATTTATTCAATATAAAACAATATATTGTTTATGTTTGAACCTCTAATAATGAAATCAATTATTTTGCTATTAATTATAAAATTATCTAGTACAGATTAAACATTCAGAAGATTAATAACCTTCAAAATTTAATTTAGCATTAATTGCATAGTCTAACTTTAGACTAACTTTTCGCAATATATCTAATCATGACATCACAATACTATTAAAATTTCTGGAAGTACATATAGTGTACACAAGTACACAATATAGTCATAAAAATCTTCTATAAGTTTGCAAATACTTTTTTGATTATATTTGAAATTTAAAAAATTTTCTTTATTATATTTGATATTTAAAAAATTGCATTGTCTCAAATTGGCAAGTATTTTTGGATAATTCCATTTCTTTTCGTACGTACGAGTCATCGCGTGACTGAAAGTCTATTCGTCGAAGAGTATTACGTGGGTGGACACACGATGAATATCAATAAGATCTTTAAGGTCATTCATACTTATTGAAAAAGGGCAGGGAGCAGTCGCACGTAAGTCAGAAGGCTTTTAGAGATGGCCAGAAACATTCTTTACGTTGTGCCATTGTGGTTTGTGTTGTTAGTGACGTGGGCAGGTAAAAATAATTTTCTCAAACCAAAAATATATATCATGTGGTGTGTGTATTCTCATCTTCAAATATTTTCATTTATATTTCATCTGTGAATACGTGACATATTGTTTCTATATAAATAATTACTATCCGGTGATTCTTTTAGAGAAACTATTATATATATTACATGCAACGATAATATACGATGACATAATCAAAATGGAAATTTCTAATACATGTAATGCGTAATAAATACATAGGTAGTGATTTATTAACATGAAGCTCTTAAGAGATTATTAAATTTTAGAAAATAATGTTAAAATAAAATACTCCATTTTTAATTCATCAGTTAACAGTTACAAAATATCATATCAAATAGTGCCATTTTTCTATTCTTGTATTCAGAGAATATTGAATTTTTACTACAATATTACAATGTAATAATAATTTGTTGCTGTTTATTTAATTATTAAGCTTTTAAGAAGTTATCAAATTTAAAGAATAATGTTGAAATAAAATATTTCTTTTTTAATTCATCAATTTATTATTTAAAAATTGATATGAAATATTGTATCAAACATTATGTTTCTAATTTTATATTCAGAGAGATATTAATTTTTATTTTAATCTTTTCATTTTTCTAATTTTGTTATTTCTCTATTATTATAGTCAGTTGGAGATATTAAATATATAAATTGCATAGAAATCATAAAAATCTTATTTCATTACTTTATGTTTTATCTCATTGTTCATTGTAAATGATAAATATAAATTCATTTCAATTAAGTAACAAATGATAAAAATAAGTCTTACGGTTTTGATTTTATAATTTATATGTTTTTGCAAATAACATATTATATCTTCATTCATAAAAATTGAGATTTTTTTCAATCGTTACAGCATATTTCGCTGATATCAATTATTTTTTTCTTTTCATGGACATTTTGATTATATAAGTTGTTGTTTTGTAAGAAATTGTAGAATTACAGCTAATTTTAAACATGGATATTAAAGGAAAAATTCTCTTTCTACTATGACATTTATGTATCATGATATTATTACTAATTACAATTAATAACTATTTGAACAACTCAATTATTTTTATTTTATTGAATGAAGTTTTAAATTTAAAAACTTTTTTAAATTTTTATTCAGTATAAGCTTTAAATTATAAGTTTTTATTGAATTAAAACATAAACGGAACATATACTTTATCAGTAATTATTTTTCTTAATTTACTGAGTTGTATCATAATTGGAATATTAATTCACTATTTTAAGAATTAATTGTTGATGTTATAAATAAAATTGGTGTTATATCAAAATTTGTAGCAACGTTATAAAATATGAAACTAAAAGCGCACAACCTCTTTCTACGTGTCACATAATTCTTTTGCATTGAAAATTGACTTTTTTGCATTGAAAACTGAGATAACTAAGCAAAGATATAAAGTCACGTTCTTTTTTTAAGTATGAGTTTATAACACTAATTTTTTGTATCACATATATGTATCAATTTAGTTATGAAATGGAGTAAAGTGTTCAAATAAAATGATATAGCATTGGAAAGTGTCATTCTATTTAAATGGTAATTTTATTGATTATATTTTTCTAACATATTGAGAACATGTGTTTAAAGTCATCAAATCGTCAATTTTCTAAGACAAACTTAGTGTATAAGAGTTAATGACACATATTTCCATTTCCTAGAAAAATAATTTTCTTCATCGTTTTATAAATTTTTGTAGAAAGTAATGAGAAGTTTATGCGAATATTTTCCTAGTTATAGTAACGAAGATAGTCGTATAGTAGTACTATAACTTTTGTTCATACTAATCGTATGTCAGTTCATTATAATTAATGGATTTTTATGTAAATTCATATTTTTGTGAACCAAAAAAAAATGAAATTGTAGTAGAAAATTGTTTTACATATTGAATACAGAAAGCACTATAATTTGGATACTCTATATATTTTTTCGTATAATACATATATTATCTGCAATTTTGTACTTAAATCTATGAAAATCCTGCAAATCTATAAAACTCTGCAATCTAATTATAATTATTAGCAATTATAAAAAGGGATTGAACTGTTAGCTATATAAAAAGGGACAATTGAGCATAAAGTGAGGTAAATTTATTATTTAATTTATTGTACTATTTATTTATTCAATTTATTATACTATTTTATTAATATATAATTTTACTATTGTAATAAATTAATTTATCTAATTTATTATAATAAATATACATTTTTTGCTTGCTTTCATTCGCGAATGATCATTCAATTCGTTGAACGTTAGTCTATTTTTCAATGTATCAAACTGAAATGTGTTACAATCTATTCGTTTGTGTGATGTTCCTTTTAAAAAAAAACGAGAACTAACTATGATAAAACTTATAGCTAATAACGGAAGGTTTTCTGCTTGAAACGTATCACGATGGGACGTATCTCATTTCGTAGATGATCGCGTTTTCCTCACAGAGGAAAATGAACGACGATGGAACACACCACCGGAGCTCATACCAGAGCAACTAATCAAAACGTCCAATGCGAAAAACGGACGATCGTTGTCTATTCCAATCACGACAAATATCAACGTAAACACGGGAAACAATGCATACTCTTTGGGCTTTCAACTACGGCCTGAAGGCGTTAGCTACTCTGAAAGCAACAGTTTTAATCATCCATTGTCTGGAGCGAGTGGGTACGTTTTCGTGATCAAACGATATAAGAGAGATGGTGTGACAATAAATCGAGGTTGGGCAAATTTTATTTGAATATAAGGATAAAAAATAACGATTTGACATAACTGATCATTTCTACCATTTTCTTTTTTTTAGAAATAACATGGGGAAAATATGTAACTTTATCTAGTGTGCAAATCAAATAAATCATTTTTTATTTGGATTAATTTATTAAAATAAAATAACTAGACTGTGGGTGTTTGTGCGACTTTACATCTTTCTGACATAATCTGATAGTCAAATAAATTGAATTGTTTCATCTATTAAGTATCATAATAAATATTTTACTTTGAATATATTATACAATTAAACTTCACGTTAAAATTCGTCGAAGTATTAATTGTTAGATACAACGGATATAATAAGACAAAACATTAATTTTATTTGTTGAAAAAATTATTCTAGAATTATTATATTATATCATATTCACAAAAAAAAAAAAAATCATAAATGTTAGAACACTTATGAAAACTTTTTTATGAAATTTTTAAAGTAAACTTGAAAAATGATTAGAAAATTTATTATAGAATTATCAGTTGCAACATATGTGGTTATATATAGTCTATAATATATAGAAGATTAGATATTGGAATATTGATATGGATATTGATTGGGATATTGAAATAAAATATATATGGCAGTGTATATGAAAACTATAAAAAAATTCATTTTTTCAATTAAAATATTTATTGATATTTGATAGAAGAATACATAAGTTATAAAAAATACGTATTGAAAAATATGAACGTAAAAGATTTCAATTTTACGTCGCATGAGAAATAAGAAATCCCAAATGATTCGTTCATGTTTCAGTATGAAAAAATCTATCAATTGAATTATTCTTACTATCAAAGAATTTCTAATTGTGATATTTTAATTTTTATCTACATCTCAAATTTGATAATAAAATTTGCAATTATAAAAGAATAACATATTAAATTTATACTAAATTGAAATTCGAATATTGTAATTATAATAAGTTAAGAATAATCCTGTTCTAGCTGAACTTGCTGATGTGCTAATTATTCAAATTTTTTTCATAAATATGACACAGTTAGCATATTTTAAATAAAAGATGATTCATTAGCAAATCATTAACTCTGTTTTTTACTCTTCAGAATATTGAAAATTCAAACACAAAATATGACCATAATCGTGGATCATAATCATTAATGGAATGATTTCTCACACAAAAGAAATCTACAAAATTCATAGTACATTTTTCTTCTATCTAATTAAGAATCAATCATCGAAATAATTCGAAAAATTATATGAACATAACATTAATGGAAAATATAAATAAAAAAACAAATTTTACAATTAGTAAAAGTTATATCAGAATAATAAATATTCTATAAAAGTCTCAAGTTATAGACAAAACAAAAGTTTTTATCTTTACTTCACTTTTTAAATTATTACAATCATAGCAGAATATTGCGATAAATATAAAAATATTAAAATAAATGAGTGTAGAAAATTTTATTAATGAAATTTTCTATAATAAAAACTTCAATTTTATATATAATATATAATAATATATTTATATATATTATAAAATATAAATGTATATTATGTATAGACCATATATTATATTATTATATAATTTGTATATTTTACTATATAAATAATATTTATAATACTGTAATAAATAATACTCTTTCATCTAAAATCCAAATCCTAATCTTTTTAAAAACAAATCTTTGTCTAAGGATGTATTTGAGATGAGAACATATTTCTGACTCACATTTTAAAGCGATTTTCCATTTATAGTATTATCTAGTTATTTGTGTTATTTAAAATTTCCTTGACGATCATATACATCTTATTTTAATCATTTTAAAATGCTGGTAGCAATAGAAATGCCAGTGAATGTGTTAATCTTTTCAAATTGAATTCCAAAGTTTCAGGCAAAAATATACTACTACCAAAATAAATATTAATTCAATAGATATTATTAAAATATACATACCTTTGAAATATTTTATCTGAATATGTAATATTTTTTGTATAAGCCTTGCAGAGTGAAAAGGACACACTGATGTAAAATGATTAGATTGCTATTAGATTCACTGTTATTTATTAATTTATTATTCTATTCATTACCATTTATATCATATCTTCAGAATGTTGTTTTAAGACAAGAGATTAATTAATCACAAGAAAGAAATCTGCATTTCCTTCTGTATCTCAGTTTTATAATAATAATCTATACACGTATTTTGTAAAAGTTTTATAATAATATATATACGTATCTATTCCCAGGAGCATTTCGCAAAGTCAGTCGGTGTCATTCTCCGCAGGAGTAAGTCAACATTATCCTACTTATGGTAATCAAGGAAATATCAATAGCCAAACGGTTGGTTTTGGCAGTGCAGCTGCTTCTTCGTCGAGTAGTAATCAAAACGGCCATGCGACTTCAGCTATCATGTCTTCGAAAGGAATGATTATCCGGTTTCCAGGGCAAAGTCAAAATCGACCAATTTGGACCAACATTCGTCCTAACAATAATAATAATAATGGTAATACTAACGTTTAAATGACAACGTTTTGGTTTAAATTCATCCCAACAATAATAATAACGATAATGTATGCTAATGTTTAAATAAGTTATGTAAATAACATAATATTGGTAATGATAATATTGATGTTTACTAATATTCCCTATTTTACATAAAAATTCTACCTTTATATTAACATTAATAGAAATGTCAATTGATCATCGCGTCACATACACTGTTAATCATCACACACTTCGATTTAATGATTACATTTGAAGGGTATAATATCATAAACAAAATACATAATTTCATACTGTTTATTCATACAATCGATAAGCTTGCGTGTCTTGCGCAAAGATTTCACTGAAATATGTACTTAGTGCATTGAATAAGTTACTCAACGCTTCAATAATGCTAATTACTAATGTGCCGCGCGAAATTTACATAATGGCTATAAAAAATATTTGCACGCTCATTTATTTTACAAGGAAGCTTTTTAGGTTCCACATTTCATTTTTATTATATAATTATAATAATATTATAAAATATAAAATATTATAATATTATTAATTTTGAATTATATGAAAATAATACTAAACGATACGAAATTTATTGTATTTGACGTTAATTGACACATTAAAGACTATTTCATTTGCATTTTCTTTTAAACAAGTTGTATTATCAAAATCTTTTTTTTTTTAATACTTGAGTTATGAAAAAAAATTTCAAAAATTGGTTCAATATTTTTTCGTATTATACCTTTACCTACACAATTTTACTTTCCACAATTTTACGAAATTTTATGGAAATTGAAATATTTGTAACATTAAAATAAATTATTGCTTACTTCTTAAG